ACGGGACAAACCTCAACCAATCAAATTTCCCCTCCCAGGAATTTAAAATGTAGACAATGAGCTAGTAACAGTTGCAGTGGCACTAGAATTTAAGTTCATATGTGGCACCAGGAATGAAAGTGGTGATTTTCTTCCATGTGTTTTTAAAGCAGGAAAGGCCAGACTGTGAAAAGACAACTAAAGCAGGATAAAAAGAGACAAGAGAAGACACTGACAGCCAGCAGGGAGGGAAGTGCTATCTGTACTGCCTTAGCTCCCGAACGCTTCCCAGAAGCTTCCCAGTTTCTGGTTCGTGTCCTTCATGAAAGCCAACTGCCCCCAGGTTCTTTAAGTATCTCCTTACTTCTGCTCCCAAAGAATTCCTCTTCCTATTTCACACCATCAGAAAATCATGACAACAGTTTAAGACACAAATTCACAATAGGAACAGTGTAGAAAGGGTATGATTCTTCTTGCGGTTCATAAGGAATCTGAGCAGTAGCTAAGAAGTTGTTTCTATCACTCTCTATAACTTCAGGAGGGGAAAAAAAAAAAGGCAAAAAACCCCTGAAACCTTAAAAGCAAAAATCATCTGTTTGCCTAAGTCCTCAGCTCTGTGCTTCCCATCAACACTCACCTGTTCAAAAGTTCTGCTGGTTCACAGCAGGAGGTGCAAGCAGACTTTGTTCAGGTCCTTTTAACACTGTAAATAACAAAAGTATTAAAGTAATTGACCCAACAATCAATCTCTTAGGAAACTTTTAAAAACAATCTCTTATAATGAATAGTTTTACAGGAAATGGTTCCAAACCTGGTTAAAATATTAGAATCATCTTGGGATTCTCTCCCTGTCTCTTAGAAACTAGCTTAGAAACTAACTTCCATTTTCCTAACATTTAAAGAGTTTCTCAGTAGCTCTGGAGGGGGACTAAAAAAATACATATTTTTAACAGAAGTTCTAAGTGATTCTGATAAAGACAAATGAGCACCAATACAGGGTTTAGGAAAGTGATTACTTGGGGCTTTCATTCAAACTACATTGCAGGGATGTGATACCAATTTTTAAACGTATCTGATAGAAAAATGACAGCCACCAACGCAGCAATACAGTATGTATCCTATGCAAATAATCAGTGAGCCCAAGAAATATAACCACTGCCAAAATGCCCAGGGAGCAAAACTCCAGGTGTGCTTTCAGTTGCAAAATCACAACCTTCATTTAATGCTCTAATGAGACAGCATCTTAAAAATCCACAGGATGGTGACATCTCAATTGACTAGGAGGAGACTGAATGAAACACAACAGCTTCAAGTGGTTTCTTAGCTAAAATCAAATAATGCTTTGAATGCTGTTATGTGTCAAAAAAACAATAATTGCAAATTAAAGAAAGTAACTTGGGAAAGCGACTTCTGCCTTTTGACCTTAATTTTGCAAAAACATAGCCGTGTTATTTTAATACCCAAAAGGTCATTCAACTTTATGCAATGCAGTCTAGTTTAGTTTTATAAGGGCAGGCAAAAGGAAAAGAGGGGACAACTAGGTAATAAAGTCTTCTCTGGGCCTAACTCAAAAAAACAAGCTCTAAAGTATCTCTTATTGCAAGTATAATTAAGTTCAAGTCCTCTGTAGTTAATGAAACTCTGCAGTTAACAAGAAAATATAAAATCGTATACTTTAATTACTTGAAGTAGGTAGGTACATAATACTTTGAAAATATTTTTATAAAATTAATTGTAACCACTTAAGGGAGTATTCTTTCATTTTTCAAACCTCCCCCTATTCCTCCCCCTCAACTTCACACAAAATTATGGGCAATTCGGGGCACCTGGCTGGCTCAGTCAGTACAATTTGATCTCAGGGTCGTGAGTTCAAGCCCCACATTAGGTGTAGAGCTTACTTAAAAAAAAATTTTTTTTTTTTAAATTACCAACAATTCAACAAAAGTATCATTTTGCATTCCCATATAATTAATCTACTGTATTTCTCAGTCATCTGAGAGCATAAAAAACAAACAAAAAAAAAAGCCAATTGGGTTGAGAAATACTAGGATTCCAACTATCAGCAAGCCTTCCTATGGAGTAAAAATCTACTTATATATTTAAAAATATGTAACTTTTCAGGGCATTAAAAATGAATGGAAATCCTAGAACTTTATTACCATAAAAATCCTAGCAGAGGGTGAATAGGGAAAAAAGGCTTGGGTTCAGAGTTTTACAATGATGACCAAATGATGTTAAGGCAATTCAAATTGCTGAAGGAAAATGGACATTTAACTTGCCTCTAAGATACCCGGATTAACACCAACAGAGGCTTGTAGATTCAACCTAATGAGACTGGTCCCACTACAATCTATAAGAAATAGAATAAAACAGAAAGTACTGAAAATTGAATCAGCAGGGGATAATGGAGAACTGCAAATGAAGTCAGTCTTTGAAAATGGCACAAATCAAAGATCCTTTAGAATGGCAAGGGTAAAAGGGTCAGCAATAATCTTTTCACCCAAAAGGTTCTCCCAGACAGCAATCTCTATCAGTAGTGTCATCTCCCAGTGTGAAAGTCAACAAAAAGAGAATAGACACACGGAGTATTAAAATGCAGAGTCATGAGAACAAATGAGATGATATGACATCAAAGACATAATATAAAAATGTCATTTCAAAAATTCAACAAAAGAACAAGAGGGGAAAAATTCATTAAAAAATACCACCTCATCACTATCATTGCTATGTCTCCTTTTAGCCAAGGAGCTCCACTCACACCCTGAAGTTGTAAATTCCTCTCTTCTCATGAGCTTCAGGCAAGCTATGACAAATTATTTTTCATATATGCAACTCAACTCACCAGCAAAGGCACTTCAAAACCAAAATATTAAATTCCTCAGGTGAATTAAATGCAAAAAGACATTTATGAAAGCTCAGTAATACGCATATGGAGATAAGCTGGAAGGAAATCAGAAAAAAATTTTTTTTCCAAACAAAACAAGCCTATGAAGTATCAAATTAATTGGTGAACTTGTCAGCTAGTCTGAAAGGCAAAAGGGGAAAAATAAGACACTCAGCACAAAAAGTTCTACACATGTAAAATGCTATAAAAGACATACAAACAAACTAGCGGAAGAGACCCTGAGGAATTTAAAACTAGGATGGACAGAACAGAGATAATTAAGAATTCTTAATTCTTACTAATCAGATTAAGAATAACATAAATTAATATGCTGATTATACCATTCTTCCAGGTTGTATTTCTTAACGATGTGTCTAAACCTCACAGGAAATTAATTTCCCTACCTTTTCAAATATTCGTAAGTGTTCCAAAGATCCCCTCCCTCGAAAGCAATTCCAGATCTTTTAGGCAGTCTATCATCCATCTCATTTAAACACTTTTAAGAAAGATTTTTCAAGACAATTTCCTGAAATATGTTATATGAGCATCCTGGATTTTTCCAAACTCGGGTGGGGCATGTGTCATACACAGAGGGAAGGGGGTCTGGGCATACTGGCCCAAATTTCCAGAATCTGGTCTCCCCTTCCAATAGTCACAAGAGATGTGGAAAAAATTTCTAAGTCACTGAACAACCCCTCTTAGCACCAATGAGCAGGGTACACATTTTCTACTAGCCTCCGTCTTCTTGGGTCCCTCTGGCTAAACTAGCCTCCATACTTTTCCCAACACCTGACCTGCACCCACTTCAGCTTCTGCCTCAGTATCCCTGCCCTAGCTTGCCTAGCCTGGAGCATTCCTTCTCCATACAGCTACAGGAATCCCTCCACCTATGTCAGGTCCTTCCTCAAACCTGAGCTTCTCCGTGCAGCCTTCTCAGGGCACACAACTTAAAATTAACCCCTAAATCTCGGTCATCCGATTTCTGCCTCATTTCTTTTCCCCGCATCATTTACCACAACACTATGTATTTTACCCGAGTTTTTATTTGTGTGTCTAGAAATGAGCTCCCCAGAGAAAGGATTTTTGGTCTGTTTTGGCCCCAGCACCAAACAGTGTAGTAAAGTCCCAATCTTTGTCAAATGAATGAATGCGTGAATGAAGGAAGGGAAGCACGTAGTCCCTTCCGCCTGCTCAGTCTCAAAATTCTGAAATGCTTCGTCAAGTACACAAAAGGTGTAAAGCCCTTTCTTTGCCGATAAATCAGTGCCATTACCAGTGTATTCCTTGGTGTCAAATGTAAAGGAACAACTGTGTGTCATTTCTCCAGATACATGCCACTTTGAGGTTTTTTTCCCAGCATCCTCTACTGATGTCAACATGTGATGTAACAGAAAAGTACATATTCCATCCATCTCGTCTGAGCACTCCAAAACCTGCTACACTAATTAATAAGACACAGGAAATCATCAATGAGTGAGAGAACACATTTGTGATCTAACCAAAATGGACAAACTCCGTAAGGTCAGAGATGCAAATATCAGACGGATGAAAGTTAACGTACAGAAAGGGCTGGTATGGGGGAAAAAAAAAAAACTGTTTTAAATCTAAGAAGTGATTAGATTCTAAAAAAGAAATACTACGGAAGGACAAAATATCTTCCCTGCACACCCCACCGGGAATCAAAACTGCCTATAATCCGAGACGCACAACACTGGATGAAAGGCTGTTCACAGCTTCCGGCCCCATCCTCAATTTCTTCTAAGTGTAATTGGAATACTCACCTTCCTTTACAGAGAAAACTAGGTGTGCTTACGTGCTTTGACTTTCAGGGAAAGGAAAACAAAACAAAACAAAACAAAACAAAACACAGTGCCATATAAATGCGAAGCAACGTTGTTGCTTCCCAAACAGGGTCATGCAACCTGCTTCTTTCATAGACCATTCTGTGGCCGGAAGTATCAATCTGATTTAGGCTTCAGCCACAAAACTCAAGTATTCCAAGTGCTTCGTGGGAAACTGCTGACACTGAAAAGACTAATACCCATCTCAATCTGACAAGAATGTTCAGGTCCCAAAGCTGCCTCGGGCTCGACTTTCCCAACCTCCGTCCCAGGTTCAGATCATGGCTCCACCTTGCCTCAGGCCTGGTCCAGACCCGTCCTCTCGCCACGGAAGGAGTCTCCACAGTGCAGATGCTCGGTGAGGAAGGCAAAGGCGCACCTCCCGGAGGCCAGGTGTGGGGAGGAGGGCCGGCAGGAGCAGCTGTCTGGCCGAGGCAGCTGTTACCCCGAGCACCCCAGCCTGGGCGGGTGGCTGGCCCGGGGAGCAGGTAGCAGAAGGCGAACCCTCTGGCCCTGAACAAATCGGCCTGACACTGCCCACCCCACCACCCTCTTCCCCTCCTCGGCTCCCCCCCGCGATGCCACCGGGCCCCGGAGGTGGGGGCTCCCCGGCTCGGCGGTCGAGACGCGCCCGGGCCCGGCGTGCCGCCTCGCGGGGTAGGAGGCTCCCTCCGGCCCAGCACCTGACCTGTCCCCTCGCCTGACGCCCTAGCCGGCCGTGGCCGCTGCCGGGGCGGCCTGTGGGTTGTCCATGCGGCTGGGCCGGGTCGGACCGGAGCGGCGGGGACGCGACCGCGGGCAGGAGTCCCGGGCGGCTCCATGGGGGGGGGTGGGGGTGATGGGAGACAGCGGAGTCGGGGCGCGGCGCGGAGCCGGGCAGGGGAGTGAGACGGAGTCGCTGGTTACCTGCGGTCCGGGACAGGGAGTCTCTCAGAATCCAAGTCAGTCTTCAGCCTCAACAACACAAGATGGCCGACACGTCGCCACGCACGTCACGTGACAGCGCGCTCCTTCCGCCACGCCCCTTGCTCCTCCCCCGCCCCGCCTCACCTCCCTTACCCGCTGATCCAGCCTCCCACGACGTCCTTCTTTTCCGCTGCCTCCCGCCCCTCTTCCCCGAACACGCCCCTGCCCGAGCCCCGGATGTCAGGCTGGAAGAGGGCGGGGCCGCGGCAAGGCGCAGGCGCCTGCGGGTCCTGGGATGGGGCTCCCTGCCTGCCCTTGAGTTGAGTAGAGTTGGTGTTCAGAGTTGGACCCCGGCCAGGCACTGTGTGACTCACCGTCCTATGCGCCCAATCCAGAGCCAGTTCGCAGTTCAAAAAGCTCTTCATCATTTACGAGCCGATTTTCAACACTAGAACTTTTCCACAGCTTTTAACCCAGCATTTTCCTGCCCGTTTGCCATCCTGTAGAAAACAGGGAAACGACAAAAGCCGAAATTCAAAGCAGTTTCTCTACTTGTTAACGGTTCTGGTAGAACTGGGGATTCATTCTAGAGTGTTGAAACGCGACAGCTCAGAAGGGCTAGAGAGCTTGGACCCCCTTCTGGTGCGTCAAGGGCTATAACCCGTTTGCCAAAAAATCTACCATCTGGGGGCTGCCAAATAAAATACAGGACGCCCAGAAATATTGGGAATATATTTACACTAAAGAGTTACTCGTTTTTCAGAAGATCGGATTTAACTGGGTGCCCTGTATTTTTATTGCTCTAACTCAACCCTTCTCAGGTCATCCTCTTCTTTCTTGTACATCCAAGCTTTTTTTTTTTTTTTTTTTTTTTTACAGGGTCCTTCTGAACAGCTTTTTAATTTTTTTTAATGTTTATTTTTGAGAGAGAGGGGAACGGGGGATCCGAAGTAGGCTCGGCACTGACAGCAGAGAACCTGATGTGGGGCTTGAACTCAAGAACCACGAGCTCATGCCCTGAGTGGAAGTCCCGCAATTCGCTGACTGAGCCACCCTTAACAGTGTTTGAAAATACTCAAATGTTGGAGCCCATTGCTGGTTCGGATGGTGGAGTATGTGACTCTTGATCTCAGGGTTGTGAGTTCAAGCTCCATGTTGGGCATTTAGCCTTTTAAAAAGTAAAAAAATAAGGGCGTCTGAGTGTTCGAGTTTGGCTCGTCATGATCTTGATCTTGGGGTCCAAGAGTTAACAGCCCAGCATCCAGCTCTGTGCTGACAGCTCAGAGCCTGGAGCCTGCTTTAGATTCTGTAGCTCCCTCTCTCTGCCCCTCCCCCACTCATGCTGGCTCTCTCTCAAAAATTAATAAGTATTTTTTTAAAAAGTAAAAAATAGGGGCGCCTGGGTGGCGCAGTCGGTTAAGCGTCCGACTTCAGCCAGGTCACGATCTCGCGGTCCGTGAGTTCGAGCGCCGCGTCGGGCTCTGGGCTGACGGCTCAGAGCCTGGAGCCTGTTTCCGATTCTGTGTCTCCCTCTCTCTCTGCCCCTCCCCCGTTCATGCTCTGTCTCTCTCTGTCCCAAAAATAAATAAACGTTGAAAAAAAAATTTAAAAAAAAATAATAAAATAAAAAGTAAAAAATAAAATACTTGAATGTCTTCCATCTCAAAAGTTGATGGTAAAAACTACAATTCCACCTCCCTACGTCTCGGTTTCAAGCCAAACTGCACATAAGAGTTGTTTATACTCACTTTCCCAATTTCCACACCTGGCAAGCAAGCAATTGTCAACCACTCCAATGTGGCTTCTATTCTGACTCATCCACCTAATGCTTGTCCTCAGACACCTCAACCTACAGGTTGGTAAGTGGAGTTTTTCAGTCCCAATCTTGGTTTAGTGCTTTTCCATCTTCAATACGATGGACCAGTCCCTATTTTCTGCAATACTTTATTGCCTTGATCTTTATGTCCTTGCTGCTCAAAGTGTGGTCAATGAACCAGCAACAACAGCATCACTCGGAAGGTTGTGAGAAATGCAGAATCTCAGGGGCATGTGGGTGGCTCCGTTGGTTTAGCACCCAACTCTTGATTTCAGCTCAGGTCTTGATCTCAGAGTTGTGATTTCAAGCCCCTTGTTGGGCTTGAAAACAAAACAAAGCAAACATGCAAAACCTCAAATGGGCCCTTCACAATTCCATGCTGTTGAACTCTAGACCCTTTATAATCCTCATTGTCCCCCTCCCCCTCCTCTTTTCCCTGAATTTATTGTTCCGGATATGCCCATGTTTGAGGGTCCTCAAATATGCCACTCTGTTTTAGCCTTTGCCCATTCTGTTCCCTCTTGTTACAATGTCATTCCCAACACTTACCCCACTTCTGCCAACCTGCGTAACTCCTGCTCATCTTTAAAAGCCTAATCATATGTTAGTGCCTCTGTGAAGCTTTTTTTAATCTCCTCTCTTAGACCAAAGATCTTATCCCTTGAACTGTTATTTTTAAGAAAAAAGGTAATACTATGTTTGTTATATGCTAACCACTTCATTAAGTGCTTTACTTTCATTCTCTCTTGTAATCCTGGTGAGAGCACTTTGAAGCACTAAGAAAACCAACCAGGCACCTGAAAGAACTGCTTACTTTCTCCTAATCTCAGCCAGGACTTTGTAGCCCAGGCTGACTGACTGCTGAGCCCATGTCCCTAACTGCCTCTCTGATGCTGTGTCATCTGTACCTGTAATTTCATAGAGAGATCATATAGATAATGTATGTAATTGATCTAGAGACTATATAATTTAAATATGTATAATTAAGGTATAATTAATATACATTAAAATTTAGCATTTTTAGTGGTCGTTCTGCAACTTTTGACAAATGCATACACAGGTGTGTTCAATACCACCAAAATTAAAGTACAGAATCGTCCCATTATCCACTAGAGTTCTCTCAACAACCCTTTGTAGTTGGCACTAACCTCCACTCTTGGCCCCTGAAGCAACTGTTATGTTTTCTGTCCTTATAGTTTTGTCTTTTTTTTTTTTTTTTTAATTTTATTTTTGAGACAGAGAGAGACAGAGCATGAACGGGGGAGGGTCAGAGAGAGAGGGAGACACAGAATTGGAAGCAGGCTCCAGGCTCTGAGCCATCAGCCAGCCCAGAGCCCGACGCGGGGCTCGAACTCATGGACCATGAGATCGTGACCTGAGCTGAAGTCGGACGCTTAACCGACTGAGCCACCCAGGGGCCCCTATAGTTTTGTCTTATAACATCATACAAATAAAACCATAGAGTATGGAACCTTTTGCAGCTGGCTTCTTTCACTCAGTATAATGTACTTGAAATTTGTCCATATACCGTTGCATGTTTAAATACTTCCTTCTCCTTCTCCTCCTTCTCCTCCTCCCCCTCCCTTCCCCTTCTTCCTCCTCCTCGTCCTCCTCTTCTTCTCCTTCTTCTTCTCTCATTCATGAGTGTATTTAATTGTATGTATTTGCTTATCCATTCCCCAACTGAGGGACATTTGGATTCTTTCCAGTTTGGGGATATTATTAATAAAGCTATTATGAATTTTCACAAGCAGTTATTTGTGTGAATACAGGTTTTAATTTCACTTGGGTAAATACCTCAAAATGGGATTGGTGGCTATGTGGTGTTTTTCATTTTATCAGAAATTGTGAAACTGTTTTTCAGAGTGCCTTAGCCACATTTTTAGCTCCAAAGTGTAGGCTTCCAGAGAGCAGGAACCAAATCTAAGAGAAGAGAAGGAGGAGGAAAAGGAGGAAGAAAGAAGTATTTGACTTTGCACCCTCAGCAGCTGGCATTGTCCTGTCACAGGGTAGAAACTAAGTAAATATCTAATCAATTCTTGATCATCTCCTTCTCAGGAGGGGTGCCTTCAGTGTCTCCAAATGTTTCATTAAATAGTGGTTTTAAAGTTACAACAGTAGACTGATGCCTACTCTAGGGAGGGATAATAACAAAGTTTCACCTTTATTGTATCATTGATAGAAACAGAGAAGTTGATAATAATAGATCACAGTGGGGGAGGAGGGATTAAGGAGTTTAGCCAGAAACAAATCTTGCCACCACCCTTTCTGAAGAGGTAGAGACTAATTTCCCCTCCCTGGGGCCCTTGTAACTGATAGAACATGGCAGAAGTGAAAGAAGTGATTTCCAATGCAAGGGTTATAGAGCTTCCACCTTATTTGCTAAAACAGCCTCTTTTGAAGCAAGAGCTGCCAGATCGTAAATGCAAGGGCTCTGAGGCCGCCATTCTGTGAGGAAACCCAGACTGCAGGGAGAGGCCCATGTAGCTGCCTCCAGCAAGAGCCCCAGCTAAAATTTTGGGGGTCTGAGCTACAGATCTGAGAATCATCCATACGAAGAAGATCTTTGAACTCATGGAGAATCACCCACACCCAGCAATTGCAGAAGGGGAGGGTATGAAGGTAGGCTCTTGGGAAGAAAACGCATGGTTGGCAGGCAGAAACAAGCGACAGATAGGACCAGGTTAGAAGCAGGAGCCAGTCTCAGAACGGAGGCAGGAAGAAATTGATTGGCAATTCCAAATCTACAGAATTGCCAAGGAGTCTGGGGCTGGGGAGCCTGCCGTTGAATTGGTGGCTGGAATTGTGTACAGAGCAGGAAGAACAGAGGGTTAGGCAAGAGTAGGTGACAAGGAAGGAAGGAGGCATGGGATGCCTGGGTGGCTTAGGCGGTTAAATGGCCGACTTTGGCTGAGGTTATGATCTCAGAGCTCATGGGTTCAAACCCTGCATTGGGCTCTGTGATTTGCAAACTCTGCATTGGGCCTGCTTCGGATTCTGTGTCTCCCTCTCCCTCTGCCCCTCCCCCACTCATGCTCTGTCAAAAATAAACATTAAAAAAAAATTTTTTTTTAAGGAAGGAGGTAGAAGCTTGAAAGCAGATGAAAAGGGCACATGGATTTGTTAGTGAAGAGGGACCCTCTTAGTTAGATGGGACCCTAACTAAAAGTGTAGCCTACACAACTGAAAACCAAAGAGAAAACACAAGTAAGAGTGGAAGAACCCAGTACAGGCAAAATAAATAAAAAGGAAGGCTACTCAGATGTGCTTCTATGAAACAGATCCATTTTATGTTGTATTTTTATTCTATAAAAGTACTTGCATATTTTAAATTCTATTCTCATTTCTAACTTCAGGTCTTTTCAAGAAAGGGTAAATCATAAAAAACTGTCTTGGAATATAACAAATGTATTCTTGTACATAAATGTCCCACAATGGGTCCCAAATTTTTTTTTTTCTCCTGGGTTTTCTTTTTTTTTTTTTTTTTTGATTTAGAATTAAGTTTATTTAATTATTTTGTTCTTTTTCTTTTAATGTTACTTATTTATTTTGGGAGAGAGTCGTGAAAGCGGAGAGGACAGAAGAGAAAGAGAGACAGAGAATCTCAAG